CAATTCAGTATCTTATAGAAAAAAACATTTTGATGGAATAATCAAGAACACAAAACAGGGACAAAATTTTATCAAACGTTTTCCTTTTACACAAATACAGTACTAACTTCAGATGGTGTTTGATATTTTACATTATCTTTTTCAAACTTTTTTTTTTTTTAAATGTCAAAAGGAACTGTTGAGGACCTGTTCCTTCAGTCCTATTATCACTACCAGGTACTTTGACCTATTATAATCATATTAGGATGCAAGTACTAAAAAACTTGCTAGTTTTGAGTTATTAACTTGCCAGTGGACAGGTTGTAGTTCTAAAGTGAACAGCTTCTGAACAGTCTGCTGCATGAAAAAGGTACAGGCTACCCAAATATAAGGATCACTTTTCAGAAAGCAAATTATTACCCCACTATACATCTCCATTCATCCTGGGGGCAGAGCAGCAAGGTGAAAACTTTTCTTTTAGGAGAGCTGAACCTCTCTGCAGAATAATATGACTCAACAAATTGCACACTCTCCTTCTGACACTCTGTCCCTTGACCTTCTCAGTAGGCAGAGCTGCCCAGGAGAGTAACAGGGTATAGAAGGCCAGGAGGTAAAGGAGGAGAAAATGAAGAATTAAAGGAGACCACAAACCAACCAGAATGAACTTGTATTCTGCCAGTCATAGAACAGTTTCAGTTCTACAAAAAACACACACATATCCACCCAACCAAAGCTCCATCACCTAAGACACAGAGAACTTTGTGTACACGTAGATTCAGACTCAGGCACTTACTACAGGGGAAGCAGTTAAAAAATAAATAAATCAAATACACACCTTCCCCCAGTCAAAAAAACCCTCCCACTATTACCAATAAAGGACATCTTCACCAAAATTAGAACATCATATAATCCAAATGCAAACACACTTAGAGAATGCACAACCAAATTCTTTAGTTTAAAACTTATGGAAGGCCTATACAGATGTCACTGTGAGACACCATCACTTCTCAAGTTATAAACATATCACACCACAGAAATCTTGAGTGTTATCACATCTACTTGAGGGTTACTGAAAAAGAGAGGAGTTTGTGATAGCCTCTCTCTTCATAAATAATAGAAAGTTTCTTGTGTAAATGTCCTCTTTTAAATGTTATCAGCTTCCAAAATGAACAGCTGTCACTCACAGCTCTCGCCACACTAACACCACAACCACCTTGAGCTGAAGAGCACAAAGGTTCTATACAACGTGCACCATCATCTTCCCTAAGGACAATTCAGTTGCACTCCCATGATGGGATTTTGGCGCCAGCAAGAATAAATTCAATCACAGTTATTCTCCATTTCCCCTTTTTGGGTTAAATCTAAGAAAATAAGGTTGATTAATTATGAAAAAGCAGTCTCCCAACTCTGGTTTTTTCTAAACTGCTCATTTGTACACAGTCCAAGAAACTGGGACAGAAAGGAGAACTGAAGTATATATCTGTTGTACTGTTCTATGAAAACAAAGCTGATATAATCCAGATCTAGCTGACTAGTGAAGATATGTGGAAAATTACAACTCCAGCCTGAATTATTTGACCATACCAGTACAGTTACTAGTATATTATTACTATTCTCATGAGGAAGCTTCAGAGTTTTCAACTGTGCAATACACAGACTTACAGTTTAAGAGCAGAGGGAAGCACAACTGCCTTCAATCATCTTCTTGTGTTGCCTTTTTTTGTTGTTGTTTTGGTTTTTTAAGCGATTTCTTAACTCGCATTCAACAGTAGTGATATTTTAGGCTTTTTTAAGTAAGAGAGTGCAATACTATCACACGATACTACCAAAATCATTCACATATATGGCAAACTTGTCTAGTTAGTTCTAGAAGCCTCACACCCCTTCTAAGAATTATTAAAACTCTTCGTTATCTTCAACACTGTCAGATATAAATTTCATCCAAACTGAATGCAAAATCAGGCAGATTAGATAGTCAGATCAAAATGGTTGCTCTGTTTTTCACCACTTGAAGAGATGATGAGTGCTTACTCCACTCCGACACTTACAAGAGCCTGAAGACACCAAGGAAGAGAGTCTAAAAAATTCACCATCTCTAAGTCACTGTTGCAGAAGGTAAAGGTGAACCCAAAATTAAGTCTCCAGCACCTGAAAGATGCTGCTCATACCTGTTCCTAACAGATGGATACAGCCCAAGTTCCAACATACCAAACATCTGAAGGACTCCACATGATTTGTCCTTTCCAGGACATGAAGAACACAAATTCTAGTATCATCAAATGGACTTGTACATGTAGTTAAGTCTAGAGTCTAAATTACCAAACTGGGAATGGATCCCAATAGCAGTGTACCACAAACGAGCAATCACTCACCTGCAAAGTAGCAACAAATTAAATACTTCAAGAAATAAAGCTCTTGAAAGATGTACATACAGGCATATTTTAACATCAAATTACGTGCATATGCAATCTGGAGTAGAGATAATATTTTTCAGCTCCCTCTCCATGGAACTGCTCAGTGAAACACAGAACTATGCCATGCTGTCAGCAGCTGTACTCAAGTTCTACATTTGCAGCAAAGTTCTCTTAAAAAAAAAAAAGCTTTCAAAAAAATCTGAAGTCTTTTTAAGCCTAAGACTTTAAAGTTGCGTTTTCCCAAGCAAGCCACTACTGAACAAAAGCAAGTCCTCTGCAAATTTAAGACTGCAGAGTTTTTATTTTAGGTACTCTGAGCTAAATATGTAAATTGAAGAATGCGTAGCCAGTCCAAGCCTACTTAAATATATGTATTTTATATACATTGGGGGAGAAGGGTGCAAGACTAAAACCTATCATGAGTCAGCGGAAACAGGGATTGCAATTTTACCTGCAGTACACAAGATCTTACCTCAACCGTTTCAACTGTCCACTCATCTACCTGTTCCTTCTCACTACTGCTGAACTGAGTCTCTGCCATGAATTGTCTGTTTACATACTAAAATAAAAATAAGAAAGGGTATGAAAGTAAAAGTAAGTGGCATTAAAGCTATACAAAATGACAATCTTTCCAGTGAATAATACCTCAGTTGATTCAACTTCAGTTGGCTCAGTAAATTCTTCCGCTGGATCAGGTTCTGTAAGAAAAATAGACCATTTATGTGAAAAACCAAACAAATATGTTACAGACCTAGAAGATACAGAGTTAGATGAAAAATCTCCCCAAATAAAAGTGGAATTTTGAAGTGTGAAGCTTTTCCTTGCGCATCACTGAAGGCATTTATGATGTGACCATTAGAAAAGATTATGGTCCCTCCAAAGAAGTAGCTGGCAAGAGTCAGCCTTACAGAACTCTTCCAAAACACAGCTCTTGCTTTTCTTTCCTCATGTCTCTCAGCAGGGCTGAACAAATGGTTGACTGCCCCATATATGTTGCCTGGCTGGACGTATACCTAATTATCAAGAAATGACATTTCTATTCAAAACACTAGTACACCTGAAGACACGGGTGCTTTTTGCTCTTAAAACTGCATCTGCAATTTAACCACCCTGATTAATCCAAAGAGACAAGACAGTACAACACAAATGTGCTTGTCACAAGGCATCTTCATATTCTTACCAGCTTCTGCTACAGTGTCTTCTACTGCAGGTGCAGGTGCTGCCTCCTCTTCCTCACACAATCCGTTCTGATGGTTATGGGTGCTATCAAAGTAACTAGTTTGAAGAATACGTTCAACAATCTCCTTTAGCGCTTTATCTAGGAAAATGGAAGAAGTTAAAGATTAACAGTAAGTCAATCTTAATCATTTCCTTCCTTCCCAAAGATCCCATGTAAATTTTATTACCTTTTTGCTGGGAAGATGTTGCTGCCCCAACCTAGTCCATGGACACTGTTACAGAACTACTTCTGTCTTACTAGGCCATATCAAATAAATCAACAAATAATCCACTTCTGTTTAGAAAAATCTGAAGGGCAAGGAGAATCTTTACGAGTATATAATACTCTTCATAAGATTTGTGAAACAAAGTGAGGTAAAGTTTATTAATTTAATTACCATACTTTTATTCCTGTGATTTCAGACATCTCTGGTGGCTTAGTTTTCTGTTTGGAAGGTTTCAGGAACTCACTGAAGTTTCAACTGTAACTGATTTTACTTGTAATTTCCTAATTAAAAGAGCCTTACTGTAAGTCAGCTTCTTACAAAACAACTAGTCAGTGCAAATTTCCATAGGTATCACCTTCAGGAAAGTTCTTCCCCTGAGGTGAAGTGGCCCAGAACAGCCTTTGTAAGCGGAACAAGCACAAGCTTGCACTTAATGCCTCTGACAAATACTGTGTCATCTGAACCCAAAACAAATCAGCCACACTGCAAGGCAGCATTACTGACTGTCTAGGCCAACAAAAACCAAAACAGACTCAAAATGGAAGATTCACAATGCAAGTGATGATCACTATGACTCAATACATACAGAGAAGAGCACAGAAATACATTAACATTCATTATAAGACAAAGCAAACCAGCAACAGCTGCCAATGACATGACTAAAAGCTCATCCTGAAATCCAAATACAACAATACATACAGCAAGAGAATGACAAGGTCTCCAAGGAGCATCCATCAGCTCTCTCCTGAAAACTATCCCCATACCTTCTCCTTTCTCCACCTCTTAAAAAAGAATTATGTGGTACCTATCTTTAGGCTCAAAGACCTAACACCACAACCATTTCAGACTTGAGTTCTTGCAGTACAAATGTTAAAAAAAACCTACTAACCTGGTACACCTCCTCACAAAATTTCATTTCAACAAGATAAACCATTTGAAGTTTCCTATTGTGCCACAAACAAGGAAAATCTTATTACCATTAAGGCCACTATATCTTACAATCCCCTTAGTATTACAATTGTTATCTAGCCTGCTTTATTGAGGAATGATACAATCATTCCACTTTCTACAAATAGAACACAAAAATTCTTTCAACAGTTCAATATTACTCTAATAGAATATGGATAATTGATTTTTTTTTTAAATGGGGGAAAGTTGTTGGCCATTTCACCTACAAAAAATACTCTTCCCTAAAACTTTCCTATTGATTTCCAATTAAGAGACTTCCAAAATTCCCCATGATACAAGAAACTGACAACTGCCTGGCAGAAGCATTTTCTTAAGGTCTACTGTTAGAAGCTGTGTATTTGTGAAACTTTCCATTTCTACAAGAAAGCTGTCCATTGGAAGGACCACACCCCAATCTACAGAGTTAATCAAACAGTGCAAAACCAGAATTCTGCTTTTTGCAGGAGACAATGGGGAGCAGAACATCACACTGAAAAAGGCCATGCCAGTTTATATATTAGGTTGAATTATTGACAAAGGTCCTTGTTCACACACACGTTTCCAGAAAACAAAGAATTGCTACTAAGCACCAGCAGCAGCAGAATACTGCTGAAACAGCAGGAACAGAGTAAGCTTAAATACTGAGTAATGCTGCATCAGTTAAAAAATACAATCCAACACAGTAAGTTCACACTTCAATAAGTTACTATGGTACAGTCCAGCTAAGGTCTGGAAAAAAAGCACCTACTCTAAAAACTCTGAAGATAATTAACTGCTAAAGTTCTCTTATATCAGACACTGTATTTTAGTTCAAGCACCAATTCAGTGTGCTGCCTCTTAATACAGAGACTATACTTACAGGTTGTTCCACAAACTGGTTTTTCCTTCCCTTCCAGTAAGTCCCACAGGTGAACAGATGCTTGCTCATACTGCTCATTCAACCTTAAAAAAAATATTAATAAGAGTTAATTCATTACAAAGGCCTTAAATTACCACAGTACAAATATATCATTAACTGACAATTATAAATTAAAGTACTTCAGTGTAAGCCTACCTCATGTTCATGTCTCTTTCAGGGTAAACTAGCTTGTAAAAGTCATCCAGCATTGTCAGTTCCTCCTCTGTCAGTACAGGTACTCCATTTGATCCCTGTTTCAAGTCGTTGCGCACTTCATCATCACCCAACTTTTCCAAAATAAACTGTAGCTCTAGTACAGTCTTTAAACGCTTCTGCTCAGCTTCTTCTCGCATCAGTTGCTCCCTGCGAGCTGTCTTCTTTATTGTTTTCTGGATCTGTTTAAAATGAAAAGAAATTTTAAATTGCTTTAAATAAACTTGGATTCTGTGGTGAACTCAGGGGGGAAAAAGTAAGATTTGAAGTGTCTTTTATTGGGAAGTAGAGATACGATGTTGGTATTGAACTGCTGCTTGTGAATCTAATTACAGCCAAATAACCTGTGAAACACGAAGAATATCTTTTAAGCAGAGGCAAAAACCTGCAAATTAAGAAAAACTTTTAAATCAATGCCACAAACCTTGGATCATATTTGGATCATATTGGATCTTGACCATATTCTTACTTGAAGTCTGTACTTATCTGCACAACTTACAAGTAGTTCTGTCAAGTAACAAGTTACCATGTCTAAATCTTCAGACACTAACATGTTATTTGGAATAAGCCCAGCTTGTTATTCTCTGCTTCCTTTATTAATTATTCTGAAAACACAGAATGATTTTGATCTACAGGAAAGCGGAAAAAATGTACAAAACTGAGTACCTTTTCAACAAACACTGTGGCTATTTACAACTCCTGGCTTCTGTAACTCAAGGAGGACTTACAGCAATTAGAAAAGGTACAGAGAAGGGCAACTCATCTCATTAAGGGGACAGAGCAGTCGCCTTATGAAGGACTTAAATTCTTGGACATGAGGTCCACAGACAGACTCTAAAGGGAACAGGAATGCAACTACTCTCTAACATGCTCAGTCTGAGGATCAGGGATGCAGGAATGGAATGGATGACAGTTAATCATCAGCCCTGTACTCTACATAGTACCTTCTACAACTGCTGTCATAATAGTGGTCTAAATGCATCACTAGTCGAAACCTACAGGATATTTCTTCCATTCTTAGTCTTAATCCAACCATCTAGCACCCAAAACTCATCTTGCTCACTTTGTAATGATACAAAGCTTTAATCATCTTTTACAAAAAATGTAACTCATGACTGTAACCTTCTTCGTCTGAAGCGTCTACATTTCTTTTTTAAAATCAAAGACTTAAAAATCAACTCAGTACTAACTCCAATCAGGAAAAAACTGCAACCCTGACCGTAACCTTCTTCCTCTAAAGCATCTAGATTTCTTTTTTAAAATCAAAGACTTATCTTAAAATCAACTGTACTAACTCCAATCAGGAAAAAACTGCAACCAGGTTTGAAAGCAGAGCATCAATTACTCCTGGATTCACTCGCTTCTTTTAGCAGGCAGCTGACCAGGGAAATATTTCAGGACAAACTTGTCCAAAGAAGAAAGTTCTTCATTACTACCATTGCAAAAACACACATGGAACCCTGATGCGAGAAAAGCAAAGAAACAGTTTGGCTTAGAGGCCTTTATATTTACAGCCACATCAAATGTAGAAAGCAGTTTATAATGTGAGGATGCTGATGCCCTTCAAATTATCACAGTCTGTTCACAAACTAAATACACTCTTTAGACCAGTCTGCTGCACTAACATCATCTACACAATGAATTCTACCAATGTGGCTGGTCTTTAAAAAAACTAACTCCAACTGTGTTCCTGCATTTAGGATCTTCCAGTCCTGTAGAAGGGATTATGCTTTCAGCTTGCTCCAGAATTCATTCTTCCTTGCAATGATACTGTGGAGGTCTAAAGTGCATCTTTTTGTCTGCAGCTCTTGGCACAAGAAATAAAGCAAAGTTGTTCACGTAACTGGAACTGTCTAGTAAAGTTTCAGAACTTATTCTTGATCACAGTGTTATTTTACATCCTTGATAAAACACTAACCTAAAAGATGATGTTTTATTAGCATTCAGTTAACTTATCCTTTATGGAAATAATATTAATCCTGTCCCATACTGTAGTTTCAGCCTGTACTTGCAATTAACAAGACAGCAAGAATATTGAAAAAGGAACTGCAATGCTTTCAGCTACTGAGACTTGATATCCTATGGTAATATGAAGAAACAAAAACCCTCAGCCACATGCCAAAGAGAATCAGGTCTAGAGAATCCATTGTCCTTTACGAAAATGTTACTATTGGCAGTTCAATTGCTGTCTATAATGTTGCATGACAGACCCCTCTGTCAATCAAATCACTCTCAATAGTTATGTTTTGTGAGAAAATTACATTATTTTTGTTCCCATAGGTTTATGTAGTCCATCTGAAAAATCTTTTGGGAATAGACTTCAGAAAACCTGACAAAACTAATACACAGAGTAGAAAACAGCCAAACATACCACCAAGATGATGAAGGGAGTGGAGCATCTCCCTGCTGAGGAAAGGCTGAGGGAGCTGGGGCTCTTTAGCTTGGAGAAGAGGAGACTGAGGGGAGACCTCATTAATGTTTACAAATATGTTAAGGGCGAATGTCAGGAGGATGGAGCCAGGCTCTTCTCAGTGATGCCCAATGGTAGGACAAGGGGCAATGGGTGTGAGCTGGAACACAGGAGGTTCCGCTTAAACTTGAGAAGAAACTTCTTTACAGTGAGGGTAACAGAGTCCTGGGACAGGCTGCCCAGGGAGGGGGTGGAGTCTCCTTCTCTGGAGACATTCAAGACCCGCCTGGACACCTTCCTGTGTGATTTTGTTTAGGTTCCTGCTTTGGCAGGGGGATTGGACTGGATGATCTTTTGAGGTCCCTTCCAATCCCCAACATTCTGTGATACAAGAAATCATAAGCATTTCATCTCTGTAAATAGAGGCTACTACTGCATCTTGCATTAGTGAGAGAGTTTAAACCCTGGGCATTTGGTATCGGAGCCAACAGCCAACATTGCACCACTTGCTCTTTACTTACATCTTGGCTCAGAGCCATAAAACTCCTCTGCAGTTCTTTAGCAAATTCCAGATTATTTGTCACTTCCTGGTATTTTGACACCGCATCCTTACAAAAAAAAACAACAAAACAAAAGACAAAGTAAACCATCACAAATAGAACAAAACACACAATTCAACAAACAAATTCCTATATTTTTAATTCCTAAGTGAGACACAGCATCCCAGATCAGAACTGAGACATTCAGTCAAATTTTTATTTTAATTGGTCAAACTATTGAAAAGACTTGTCTATGTCTTTAGGGCCTCTAGTTTCTTAGATAAATAAGCTAAAGCATATGTATATGAACACTCACATGCATGATGTACTAGTTAAATGTTTGGCTTTAGTCAGTTTCTGACAAAAACAATCTGTCAACTCAAAACCACTCAAGAGAAAAGTTTGAGAACTAAAGCATTGGTATCTTGAGTCAGAGCCAAAATCAAAATGCTATACAAAGCAAAATTTTCCTTTCTTCAGAAATCTTTATTATTTGCTATTTTCTTAAATCTAGTATGCTGATTTGCACCAAACCAATCCAAACTCCTTAACCCACTTCCCAGTACTGAGGAATTACAGAGAATCAAATCAGAGAGGAAAAAAAAAAACAAACCAGCTGAGACATTTACTCTCCTGCTGTGACACAATTAATTATGGCTACATTCTGGGTAAAAACAAAGGAGCCAAAGAAAAGGTAAGGTCCTACTTTCTTTGAAAAGTAAGGAATATTAAGTGTATTGGCTTTTTTCCCTTAAGGATTTCCATTTGTATTATCACTAAGAAACTTACACATACACATTAAGGTGATTTACAAAATTCATCATTCTTAGCTGATTTAGAAGCATAAGTGAAAATAAAGATAAAATCTATTTTGAAAGTATTTATCAAGTGTAGTAGCCAGGCTGTGGTCTTCATAAAACTCAATTCATGAGCTTCCCTCCTCAGTGTGAAATTTCAGTTATCTTCCCTGCTCAAACAGGAAACTTCTCAGTTTACTTTCACAATATGCCATTAAAAAAATAAAAATATACACATCAGTGATATTTCAGTTTTCAGTTGGCACAGAATCACCACAGCCAAGCCTAGACAGATGAAAAGATCACATGGACTGAGGGAAGCAGCTAATTCTTTTTAATTGTGAACAGCTGCAATAGTTGCAGGGTACATTTTTATTTTTTTCCCTTTCACTGTTTTTGATCTAAAGTATCATCAACAAAATATTGTTGATTACTGAGCATCTGGTAATCTCTTTAAGTATCAATATGCATGTTTGCATCATAGAACTGAATTTGATACTCACTTTATATTTATTACAACTGGAAAACTGCTGTTGAGTCAAGCTCTACAATAACCTACTTTAAGAAACAGCCTCAACAAGAAGAGAAGCAGCAGACATCCAGTAAGTCCAGCTTATCCAGAACATCACATCTGCTGCACTGATAGCTGTGACATATACATGGATGCAGCTTATTTTCAGAATCCTTCAGAACATGGTCTAAGCTACTTCTCTAACCAGACTGCACAATATTTACAAGCTACAACCAAGTGACTGAGCTCCTTAAGTTCTCCCTGGGCACATTTTCTGTGAAGAAAAACATGATGTCCAGAGAACCTCAAAGGTATCATTTAGCTCTTTCAACAGTCCCAGGTTATAACGCACGTCAATTTTCACCACAGCTTATTTACAACCTACCCTCAAGCAGCATAAAGCACTACAACACACTCCTCCTCCTATTCTTTCAGTTTCTGATTAACAGAAAAATTGAGATGTTCTAGGCAATAAAAAAAACCTGAGCCCACATCAAAGCTCAGAAAAATCTAGCATTGAACCAGGGGAAAGGGTAGTGAAATTCATCCCTTCCTTCCCTACCAAGATCACAGAACAATTTAACAGAGATCTAGTTGGTAATTTTTTTTTTCTTTTTACCAGTTGATCTTGATTCAGACGTTCTCCCTTGTTCATTCGTTCCTGGTAATCATCAAGTTTGCTCTGAAAAGAAAGAAAAATGCTATTAGGAGGAACCAAAATCAGTTTACTGCTTTTTTCTCCTTGTGCTAACAAAATTAGGTACTGTAATATTACAGTAAACACAGACTGTAACACATTATACAAGCATGCATCTGTCATGTAGAAATAGTACCTGAGAAAACTTGTCTTCTGGGTTAAAAAAATGTAAATACTTCCCCAAGAGCCAAATATTTTACTGTTATTTGGCTATCACAATACATCCTCAAGACTAGCCTTAATTTCTAAGGAAATGCATGTTCCTCCTAATGGTGAGAGCACTCTCAATGCACATTTCCTTCAGTCAAAACAACAAAGAGCTGAACTCAGTCCTGAGTCAGTTTATTGCCACTGTATCACTACAATACCAAAAACCATGACTGCAAAAAAAAAACTCAGTTAATGCTAATAAGATTCAGAACTGTAATTCTTTGTACTTGCATCAGTTAAGATAGTTATGAAGAATTTAAACCAGTTTCTAATCCTTTATGCAAGAATGCCCACCAACACAATTGATATTAATAGCTCCACAATATTTTTGTTCAAGAGCATTCAGATTTCTTCTTCATGGGGAGAAACTGAAAGTTAATTTAATTTTCAGCAGAAATCTGCTGAAATGCAAAACCATGCAAAACACTGACGCTGGCAGGTCTGCATGCTGGAAGTGACAAAGAACCTACAGGTAAGTAGAAAGGTTCTTAAAAAGGAAGCAAAGTCTCTAACAATAATGTAACTATTAAGCTCCAAGTTTTCACCATTCCTGTATTACCACATATGCTTGTATTTTTAATGAAATCTGCCTTAGTCTTATTAGAAGAGAGCCATTAAAATGAATCCTTAACAATTATCTTCCCAATCTAGCCTAACAACAACATGAAAAGGAAAGCAAATAGAAAACCACTTCATTTAGAATGTAAAATAATTAAAACCCTGATGTAACCACTGTTTCAGAGTTTATACTTGCCACAGAGTGACAGGGCTTTTTGCTGGTGGTGATCTTTGGTTTTTTACTATTTTTGTTTCAGGACATTTCAGTTAAAATATTTTACTGATTATTTTTTTTTTAGTTAATTCAACCTCTGTGCTCAATCTCAGACCTTTTGGAAAGATCAAAGTCTGTGAAACAATTTAACTGGAAAGCTCCTCTTACAAAGTATCTGATACCCCAGCATCACTTACTGAAACACATAACCACCCTTAGGAGATCTGGTCCTTTTGATGTCAACTAAAAGCAACAATTTATTTCTTTGGAAATCCTACAGGTTAGATTTAACACTTCACTACTCATCTCTCAGTGTATCAGAGCCAGTAATGGCCTAGGCAAAGTCCAGAATAAATAGACTAAGTTCTAAATAAGAACTTCCTGAGCTCCAAAAATATATTACTAGGAATTTCACGCTGGAGACAGACAGTGGCAGAGTAAAGCTGTTACACACAGCAGCCACAGTGGCTAATTTATTAAAATATATATATATATATACACACTCCTGAAGAGTGCTTGACATATTGGAAATCTATCACAACAGGAAATACGGTCGCTTTCCTCTTATACACACTAATTTCAGAATAGATGATGACATGGTTGGACAATCACAAAAGTCGTTTTTATTATTTAAGAGACTGTAGCTGAGCTGTGAAGTCAAAAGGGAGTGTGAAGAGCTCAAACACTGCAGTGTCCCAGTGCAAAGCCAGCCAGGTTAACCCACACCTCCACTGCTTTAGTTTAAACCCTAAAATGAATTGGCTTTGCAGACAAAGAAATTTTAAAAAGCTCCTGCTTGCTCAAGCCACTTACTCCCGTGCTGCAGATTACAAATCCCTTGGTCACACTGATGCAATTGTTTGTGAGACTGCACAGTAAGTAAGACTCCTAATATGAGCCAGTTTAAACAGTGCCTACAAAAATGCATTAAAAACCCCTCAACAATTTCTGCGATCCAGCTTCCAACACAAACCCATAAACAATAACAGAAAAAACAAACAGGATAGAACATCAAATTCCAGGAAAACATACATTGCAAAATTACGCTGCTTAAGGGAGGGAAGAGACAGAAATACCCTAAATAACTGCAATTGTTTCAGCAGTTTTTCCATGCAGCCTTACTTCAGCATGGTTGGTATCTTCAGACTAAAGCACGTTACAGTAACAAATTCAAACAGTGCATAAGTTTTTCTTAAATGGTCAAATATTCTTAAGATCTAATGCAAATGCTTTGTTCATTTTCACTGAGCAACGCAGCAACTAAAAAAAACCCGAAGGGTAATATGTCTATTTCTAATCATTACAAGTTACTTCACTTTTTCTTCCTTAAACACATCTGTATCAGAAAGGTAAAAGCAAAAGCTTTTACCCCTCTTTCAGCTGCAATGCAGAGGACAAACAACTGTGCTTTTAGTTACGTGTTACCACAAAGATTTCAAATGCCAAGTAAGCATTTTTCCATCATCCCAAAGACGCTGCAAAATCCAAATGCTGCGTTACACAGAAATATTTAAGAAAGTAAAACGCTTGCTTTTGACTACCAGCAATCTAAGAGCAGCATTAGTGCTGTAAAATAACTGCAGTGAAATTCCTGCTTAGCAACCTACTGCAGTGTCTGCAGAAGTAAAGATTTTAATAATTTTACCACTCCTTACACTACTTCACCCTCACTCATCAAGGATATACATCTGGAAGCATAAAAGCTAGGCCAGCAGAAAAAAAAATAAAATAATAAATAAATCAAGTGGCAAAGCAAGCACATAAATTGTCTATAAACCAGCTCATGAGTCAGCAGCCCCCAGTTCTGCAGACAGCAAGCCACCGCGCTTCAGCTTTTTTCACTGAAATACCTCAAGTATTTTGGAGTTCCCTAGGAGAAAAGGGGGGGCTAGGGAGAAGGTGGTGATGTTCATTGCTTAATTATGCCCTAGATTTTATTTTAACAGGAATCAAAAATTGAGCTACTTTATTATGGTAATCGATACATTCCCCTTACACTCAAGTTCTCATTACTTTCTCTGAATTGCCTCAAAAATCTTATCCTAAAGTGAAAAAAAAAAAAAATGCAGTTACATGACATTAGCTTCAAAAAACAATCCTGGTTTGAAGAATGCCTGACCACTCGGCTGTGCTGTTACAGTCATTTACAGTGCTATGCTATAAACTGGATCACTGGAATGATCTGATTAAAAATAACCCTTAAAAAAAGGGGCCAAGAGCAGGAGGGAGGCACTATATTTAACCAGATAATTTCAATGGTACGGTTTAGACCAGTTGCAATGGCACAAAGGTATATGACAAGCTGCAAGGTGGAAGGGGAGAAGGTAACCTCTTCACCCAGCTGAAGTAAACATTTTGGAATGGACACTTCACTATGAGCAAAGAAAAGATGGAGGAGACTATTGCAAGCCTATTTTCTGAGACATCTCAAAAACTGAATTTATTATTTTAACAGCATCAAGCAATGAAGATAACCCAAAATTTAAAATAGCTGCATTATACATTTTCCACTGAAGAAAAAAAAAAAGCCAAGTTATAAAACAGAAATTTATTATCTTGTTTTACATTTGTATATTGTAATTTATTCACCCTCCACCATCATCTCCACACTCATCACCAGTTTAACTTCTCAGCAAAGACTGCCCAGAAATTAGTAAAAAAAAGAAAGGAAAAAAAAAATCAGTCTTCCCATTTCCTCAGAAAAATAGGCAGGGAAAAAAAAAAAATCAAAAAGGTAAAACATTTGAACTGCATCAGTTTAATGAAACATGGAAGTTCAGACACTCAAAAAAAATCCCCCAGTTCTCACATTCACTGTCTGGGTTCACTTCCTACCATACACACAACTAGCAAGTCCCAGGAAGCTGTTTGAGACCCAAGTTATAAGCAAGAGGATGTAATGAAGCGTTAACATCAATACTCCAGAACACAAAACACTTAGACGTCTTCTGTTTAAACTGAATTAATTTTTGAAGTAACAGTTGTAAATATTCTTGTGGTTTTTTTTCCCCAAAAGTCTGGCAAGTTTGACAGTTTAGAATAAAATACCTGTATTAGTTTTTAAGCAATTGATAAAGACATAAGGCCAGGCTGGATGAGGCTTTGAGCAACCTGGTCTAGTGGAAGGTGTCCCTGCTGATGGCAGGGGGGTTGGAACTAGAAGATCTTTCAGGTCCCTTCCAATCCAAACCATTCTATGATTCCATGACATCAATTCTGAGACTGCAGTCTCACGATCACCTTACCCCAGAGGACACTGATCACAACAGGGGTGTTCTCCTGCCCACCACACGTTCTTGACCCTTCCCACATGCCAACAAGGACAGTCCTATGGCCAGACTGAGCTGGCTCAACAGCCTGATCCAACCAAAGACGTACAGTGACCAAGATGAAAGCCTGGCTACGAGCAGGACCCCACTCCTTCCCAAAGAAAGGCAGAACTGATGGGTCTGTGCAATCTCCAAACTGTAAACCTTTTAAACTCAGACAAGTTAACTACAGAGAAAAAAACCTGCTTCTTCAGTAACCTGAACCAAGTCAAGCCACACGAGTGAAACTCCCGAAAGCTTTGTTGGCTGCACACGTACGTCCTCTTTCCAAATCACCATACAGTATTTCCTACAGAAACACTATGAACCTACAGGTGAGTTGACTACACTGCAGGACACACTGTTTTACAAAAGGTTACGTTTTGCACATCATTTATGTCCAGAATGAGTTACTTCTACAACAGCAGGTGAATTCTGTAACATCAACTGGGTTCTCCCAACACATTCTGCATATCTTTGTCTTTTGAAAGAAAAGGAAAAGCATCAACAAAACATCAAAGCAGCAAAATCTGAAAAAACTTAACTAGATCTTTCACAGCTTGTAGGAGTCATCATGTATCCAGTTAATAGAACTTGCTATGAGAAATAAATCCTATGCTACATAAAACAGTTAAAAATAAAACAGAGCAAACTGAAACCAAAAAGTACCAAACGCCAAATGATTTCACAGAAAA